ATCATATGGTATCATATATCCGCAGAACGAACAGGTACAATGCGTTTTCGTCTGAGGTTAAAAAGTTAGGGGAATTATTCCCCTAAGTCAGCACTGTACTGTCAATATCTGTGCATGTAAAATTGTTGCTGAAAAGGCGCATTGAGGTCGACCCCCGGAAAAAGGACATCTGGAATTTCCTTTTTTATTCTGGAACGCATTATATGTCAGCACTAAAAGTATTTTACCTTAAGATGAGATTTAAGTAAATGATTTAATATTTCGTTTGCTTTTACATGTTCGCATTTCCTTAAGGACTTTATCGGGAGTTTTAATGTTCTGCCTAATAAATTAATATGTCCACATGGAAGCTCCCGAAAACTTCATTAAAACACCTTCATTTGTAATGACAAATAAAGTTTTAAAGCTGTATTTAATAAATAGATATGTAAACATATATTGCCGTCGGCCTAACAACCAAGCATTCTACATTTTCATTAACCTTTTAAACAGTATTGTTGTAAATCTCATCAATTATTGTTCATAATTTATGATTTTAAATGGAAACGCCCACGGGTATACACATTTTATCATGCAAATGAAGAATATAATCGGCTTGTGTATGCTCTATGTCACAGTGTTATCAGGAACACAGCAAATTGTGCAAACAACTTTAGATTTAACAGTTTCAGCTTCACAGTGCATTAGGCCTGGCGTTCAGAAAAAAAGTGATCATCTCATAAAAAAGATTAAATTTGAAGAAAACATCCGTTACAATACGGAAATATACCGTTAAATTAGGACTATTACATGTACTTATAGCCATGTTTGTTGATTTAATACTGATGTACGAATGTCAAAAACGTGGAGTTTCTCATGCAAACAGAAATAAGTTATTGTATTTCCGATTTCGCAACAATGAGGTTGCAGATTTTTATGATTGGTTGTCTGTACATCAAAGTAGGATCTAGAGTCGATAATAAATCCAATTTATTAATGAAATGTCGCTATTTCTGTATTAAATGCAGCTTTAACATACCTAATACTGTATTCTTAGAAATTATCATGATTTATGAAAATATTATAACTCAGTTTTCGGGACAGAATATTTACTGAGTCACTAGGCATGCCTAATGACAGATCCTGTAACACATTTTTTATGGTTTTATATCATAAATATGATACTCAAATGATGATTTTTTACATTATTTATTTATTTATTTGTTCGTTCGTTTGTTTGATTTAATGAAACTATTGTATACGTAAAATGTGGTATCCTGATTTGTTTGTTACATATATAAATATGCTGTATTGTATATGATGCACTTTGTACAAGTCTTAATAAAGTATCTGTTCTGTTTTGTTCATAAAAAGATCCACCACTAAGACTAAGACCTTAAATATAAGTCGAAAACGATTACGTTTACATCATACGGTCATACCATTATGATACAATGAGTTGTGCAAGTTATTATTTCATTTTGCATTTATTTGAATACTGAGTAATGAAAATGGGCACGTGAACGTTAAAGGGACTACACTGAGGTGTTTTGACAATACGGGGCTTGAAATAATTTTCCGACATTAATGATTGATTAATGATGTAGGTGTATACCTTTTTACTCATATAACAATAAGAATAGCAAAAAATACGATTTCTAATTTATTTCTGATTATATTTCTTACCTATCTTTTGCATATCTTTCTATTTTGAGCACCCCAGCTTTTTTTTTAAATTTTTATGTTTGTAGGCTTTTTGACCTCAGCGGAGTTCCTTTACTCCGAGTAACGTATAGTGTTTAGAGGGTTCAGGTTATGAAAATGGATAGTTTGAAATACCTGGTACATGTATAGGCTTAATATAGTATATTGTTTACATATTGTTACTTTTTGTAACAAAGACAAAGCTATTCTTTCCTCAAGTGATAGGCACGTAATGTGCTCCGAATTGAAGTCCGTGTTTGAGCGTTATAAAGCTCATGACTAACCTTCCTAAATCAGGAAAAAAAATACAGTAAACTTATTTCTGAGGCACATGTCTTTAATAGATCTTTGATGCATTAACGTTCATTTCAGTACATATTTCTTATTTAGAGTAATTTCAATTGGGTGGGGGGATAAAAGGGGAAGTTTTTGTATAGAAAACTTAAAAATAACATATAAACCAGTTTTACTTCGGCAGAGTATCTTTTTTAAAAAATATTTCTTGTTTTGACTCAAAACACGATTATAACCGGCGTGCGGTCTACGTGTACTAAGCAGGATTTGTTATGTCGTCTTTCTTTACGAAAAAGTGTACCTAGCTTGATAGTTATACGAGATATTGTACGTGACAAAGCAGGGTTATTGCGCCTCCACGGAAATTGTCATTATGAAAACAACAACAACAACAAAAAATAAAACAACAAAACATTATAAGATACATCATTTTTTATTATTTTAATGTGAGATATGTGATTAGTTATAATACAAACTGTTTGTAACGTCGATTTTCATTGGACATGCGTAACGAGTATATTATTTCTAGTCAGGTAATATAATCTTACATTATATTTCTAACCGTTAATATTGGATCAAATAACCGGTCATATAACTCGATATAATAAAGTGTTTAAACAGGTTATATGGACCAGTATAACCAACAGTTACTGTAAGTTTGCATAGTAAACATTCGTTTATACATAGCCATATATCCTTTCTACTTTGCAACGAATCTATAACCCATAATTTCTTCCTTTAATGACAAAAAATGGTATAAGAATTATAATTGTGTGTTTATTCTGTGCCTGATGAGGATCCACCCGCCCTTTCAGGCACTGAGAGTACGGATCCCAGACCTGTCACCAGTCATGTAATTAAAGGATATCATACGCCAAAAAGTGGCTTATTAATTTTGAATCAGTAATTCACTAACTTTTAACTTGATATGTACTATGCAAGTCGATTTTTTGTTATGTTTACTCTTTTTGATTATAATTGATACATTTCTGCAGTCTTTATATGTTTCGACCGTCTCGACTGTCTAATAAAAATTGATGTTACAAACGTGCAATATTGTAAGTATGAGAGAAGAGACATAATTGTAGTAAAACATAAATGTAGTATAAGCAGATAATGTATTCAGGATACGAATGTGAAATAGGGAATCTGCACAATTCAGGCGATTTTTATAATCTAGCCATCATAAGTGCAGTTGCACTGAGCAAGATCATTCAAACTTAAATGTCATTGCATACAATGCTACGGACAGAGCAGAAGATGTGGCTTTGAAAGCTATTGTAGAGGTCAACACAATAATAATAAAAATACGGGGACGTTTGAAGGTTGAAGTTTTACAATTTATAAAACTATACTACTTGCCGATATAAGTTTACAAGGCTATTGTTTGAATTAAAAAAAAAATCAAAGAAATCCATAAATACCATTATGAAAAAAAATGCTTATGTACTTTTTTAGTGAATGACAAATCAATTTAATCGTTTCAAAATCCTTCAAATAAAATTTTAATGTTTTGTTCCGTGAAATTGTATTCTGTTTACATACAATATTTATGTGTATATACAAATGATATAGATATTTGCGAGTATTGAAATAACATATTTTATACTGTCTTTATTATCCTATAAAAATGCAATATTTTATAAGATATTATAAGACAAGGCTTTATACTACCCTTTTTATAGTACTTTTTATTTTCTTTATTTTGTAAGTAAGATACTTTAAAGATCCTGTATGTTGTATTTAAGGTTGTTTCAACACTCAAGTGAAATTTTATATATGTATATAATTATGCTTCTAAAACAATTATCAAACATCGAAGAATTTGCTAAATATGTACTGCAGATATTTTTTAACACATTACATGTAATCATTTAAAATATGCATTCATTTCTTATCTAAGAATTTGACTTAGACTTTCTTTATTAATATGAAACGTCAATTCGCTAATATTTTTACAAATTATGCGTTTTGGAACTTACAACATTAATAAATCTTCATTTGAGCATTATATTTATGATATAAAAACATAAAAAATGAGTTACAGGATCTTTAACATTATTCTAAAATAACAGCGAGTATAAGGAGAAGGCAATTAACAAAGCTAAGATGTTCTGCCTGTCCGATCCTGTACCGCTGGTTTCGATCAATTTGCCATCAAATCCACATTCTGAAAGTATCCAAACAAATAAAAGGTAACTTAACAAAAAACAAAAAATAATAAAAAAATGGCTGATTGGTTGGTTGGTTGGTCGTGTTTAACGTCGTACCAACAATCTTAAGGTAATTTTCTTATCTACTGGTGGAGACGACCTCAAGTGCCCTTTCATGCATTATTTCAGGAACAATCGAACGGGCACATACGTAGAACTATTGACTTTTTGTATGTAAGCTAGATAGATTTCTCAACTGAAAGAATGTGCTCGCAACCACTGTGTGAGTGCTTTAAAGTCACCGGCTTTAACCACTCGGCTTCAGACACAAATCTTTGTTAAAATACATGTACGAATTATCTTTTTATGAAATATATTTTCAGCATAAAAAACAACAATTTTTATTGCTCTTTTGTCAATAGCGTTATTTATTCTAAATTGATAACTTAACGTAAATTTACATTACCTGGACCTTTCCAGGAAAACTTCATTCTGTCATCCGACATATCCATGTTGAAATGATATTTCAGGTCTGAAGCAATAATATGCCAGGGAAGTCCTTGTAGGTCAAGTTCACTATCATCAGAATCTATGTATAATATGAAATATTAATTTGATAAGAATGTCCTACCGAAGGCTGTCACTGTAGCTTTTTCAAACAGTTTTGTACCAGACAAAACACCTCACTGTTTTTGTATTCCATTTCATCTGAAATATTTTATCTGTGTGTCGATCGTAAAATGTTGTATACGATTATCATATACAGAACAAAAAAGTATTAAAAAACAGTTTCCATATCGTTAAATGTAGAAATATAATCTCTATTGAAAACTAGAATCTCGCGCGATCGTCAATCACCGTCGCATATTTAGAGACATTAATTTTGCATATGTAAGAAGTTATTGCAGGTTAACATTTAACCCGCTTGAACTCAAAGTCTTTGCCACCGTTATAGGTTATATCAATTGTAGCTCTTTTTTTTTATACATTTATATAGAAATCTCATGAACTCTTAATTGTCTGCCTTTATTCCTCTCTACCTTACTTCGTACTCCATATTCTTCTGTGGAGTAAAATACTTTTATGTAATACAGATACTTTTCGAGTAAGTAACATATTACTTGGTTGAAAATTCACATCTTTGGCTTATACTCCGTGGAAATTAAATGGAGGTAAAGAATGTCCACTTTGTGCTTCAAAATTTACTCTTTAAGGGCATGACTGGTGACTTGTCCGGGGTCAGTAAACGTCAGCGAAAACAAATTGCTGTGCCTTAACGCGCGGATGGACCCTCATTAAACATAGACTAAATACATACATATTACTTTTTATTTACTTGATCCTAACTGCAATAAGCCAAGCGAGACTAAATTTGGTTTATTCTTGCGGGTTATAATGTTTTGTAGTAAATTGTCAAGAGACGTTTTCATGAAAACCTTATGCACAGTAACGCTAAAACGGTTAAAGTTTGTTTGCACAAGAAAATCTTTTGATTTTTTTTAAACTTTATCACTGTGACGTAGCGCATACACGAGCAGATAATAGCCTTCATTTGCACGTTAAAATTCGTATACGAACTTTAGTGTTACAGCGGGGTTTTCCTTTTAAAAATAAAATTTAAGAATATTTAATGAGATTTATAACAACACTGTAAAAACTGAAAATAAAACTATAGAATGATTGGTTTTTAAAACCGACGGAAAAAATATTTTTACATATTTATAAAATGCAGATTTATTAAATTGTCTCCCTACCAGAGTATCTAGTTTTGCTAACGAGAAGATCAAGGTATCCCGTCGTGCATTTGTTGTCACTGTCGTACTCATAGCAAGAATCGTACCAGAAATACTTGTCCAAATCCTGACTGTAAAACTTCGCATCCATCGTTGTATTTACACCTATAATAATATATAGTAGCACAGATATATAAACAAATCTCGCAAAATCTCGCGACATATGATAACTTGCGGGAACACAATTCCGCCGATACTAATTTTAACTGTGTGATGTCACAGTCTCTTCTCCATCTTATATTTAGCTCCATGATAATAGTATACCTATAATGGTACCTTCATTGATTTATCAGATAGTAAAACATTAAATACTACTCTAAATTCGTTTAAATAAGTTCAAGATCATCTTATATATAATATAGCATTATATATAAAAAAGAGTTTCTGGGAAATGTTGAATTTTAGTAACGTTCACTTTGTGTACGTTTATTTCTGTTAGCACTTTCAATGTTAAAGCACATAATAACAATAATAAGAATAAGAATAATAAGAAGAAGAAGAAGAATAATAATATTTATACCTTGTGTATATGAAATTCACTCAGTAAACGTTTGATTTTGTGTTGTATATAAACATGAACATAAACCACGAATGGGATATACGTGTGAGAAAAGTTAGCATAGTTAAAATTCTCATGGACATTAACGAGTATTATCTGTTAATCAAAATGATAAATCATAACAAAATTCGAGTGATAAAAAAAGTTGTACATAAATGTTTAACGAATCTTCAAGTAAGATTTTTACCGTTCTCCTCCCCTCGATTGCAGTCTGATGTCTTCCGTTTGACCAACGTTTCGTAATCTTCGCATTCCTTTAAATCAGAATTGCTGAAAGGTAATAAGAAACGAAAATAAAAAATACGTATACTTAACATTTCATATCTGATCGTTGTTGTAATTGGTGTAAATTTTAAAGCTGTTTGTCTCCAGGTAACTGAGCTGAGGCAAATTATTTCAAGAAAATCAAACTTAAATAGAATGTACTGAGATTTAAGAAAAATCAAAAGATTGGACTTTAAGATAAAATTGATAATTGCCATGTGCATTAAATGTCATATGTTGCAGTAAATTCAACGTTATGAAATGGCAGTATTATAAAGATTTGTATGAGCGTTAGATAAACCAATGAAAATCAACGTTATAAAATTGAAGCATTATAAAGGCTTGTATGAGCGTTAGGTAAACCAATGAAAATCAATGTTATAAAATTGCAGCATTATAAAGGTTTGTATGAGCGTTAGGTAAACCAATGAAAATCAACGTTATAAAATCGCATGAAGATTTTTATGAGCGTTAGGTAAACCAATGAAAATCAATGTTATAAAATTGCAGCAATATTAAAATATGTGAGTGTCCAGATAAACCAATGAAAATCAACGTTATAAAATTGCAGCGTTATAAAGATTTTTATGAGCGTCAAGATAAACCAACGAAAATCAACGTTATAAAATTGTAACATTATAAAGACGATAGCACGTATCAGTTGTAACCTTTTTTTAATCAAGTTTGTTTGTATCAGTAGTAACCTTATTATCAAGTTTGTTTTGAGAGATAGCACGTATCAGTAGTAACATTTTTATCATGTTTATTTTCAGATACAGCACATATCAGTAGTAACATTTCTATCAAGTTTGTTGTCAGAGACTTACTAGCACATTAATTCTCTCTTGACGTTCTGGTCGGAATTGGGAGCATGCCATCTGAAGTTACATTTACCATACGTCTGTGTGAACGAAAACTGCGTGTAGTAAATCATTATCCAGTGTTTTGACTGCACTTTCTGTAATAAAGATTGTTGGCTAGTTATTTGTGTTTAATTTACATGAATATCATATGTAATTAAACTAATACTAGCTTCTACAGGCGGGGGACCTTAGTCTAAACTCGAAGTCCAAGAATATTGTATTTGGCTTCTCTTTACCAGCCTCTTTGAATATTGGAAATCAAACTACGTTTTTTTTTAATTTCACAAAACTAGTAAAATCACGCACTAATAAACTAAACAATTGACCACTTTGGAAAACTAATAATATGCCAATCACATCTGGATTATGCATTACCCCTTATTGAAGTTGAGCATCCAGTTTTGTTGAAAGACCTAGATCCTCGCCTGTTTCTTTATATATAATTGAAACATTTATATCAGAGAGGGAGTGCACATCAATGATAAATTATATTTTCTTTAGATCTAATATTCTTGATATAAGGACAGAATGCATGTCATGTTGTTGTTGTTGTACATAATTAGTTTTACATGGATTGTGCAGCAGTCTATAAGCTTATAGGCACACTTGCCAATCTGCTCCTGGAACCATGCAGCCATAACTGAGCAATGAGTTTAAAGTTTATTGCTTAAAGATACTTAGTCTTGCACCTTACGGGGTTTTATCTTAAGTAAATAGAGATCCTTATGTTACAAGTTCAACTCGTTAACTACTCGACCATGCCGCCACATGTTCTTTGTTTGCAATATAACAACTGTCTGCCTGTCTGCCCTACATTACTGCCCCTCCTACCTACCGATCGATCGATTGACCGTCCGACCGACCGACCGTAAACCCCGCATGCCCGCCCACCAAACTTACCTAACTACCTACCTACCTACCAACCTATCTACATACTTACTTTCTACTAATGCTAAAACATTCGAATTTTCCTAAAAGAATTGTAAAATTAGATCTATGTTGTCCTGTAACTTTATTTTCTTTCATATTAAACGTATTACAAAGTTTTAGAAAGAAAGATAGTATGTGTTACCTGAGTCAGATCTTGTAGAGTCACAACACCGCGGTCTTGGTTTGGGAAAATTGAACAAGATGGCGTCTCGTTGCATGTTTCACTTACTGCTGACGTCACAATTAAATGTCACACACAAAACCAGCACGCTACCAAGTTTTACCATTCTGTGTTTAGATCAAAAGAATTACATTGAAACAGTTAACTTATATGTTGTGTTTTAGATATAGAAAAGGCAGAAAAGGTCAAAATAAATTCTTTGTATTAACCCTTTACCTCATGTAGACGTATTTTTCGACCCCCCTTTTTTGAGGCCTCAAACAGTGAAAAAATACCGTATTCATGCCCAAAATTCTTTTTTTCGTTTAAGAAATGTTGATAAAAAAGTGATCACTTTTTCGGCGCCGCTCCCTATTTAAAAGGTACGCCAAGAAAATTTTTGAAATGTGACACGCTAAAAATGGCCTCAGGTCGAACGTAATGTAACATGTTACCAACGCTGAAAAGCCTTTTACTCCATATTAATCCATCGAGAAGTTGCAGCACTTTGAAATCAGTTTTGATGGGGAAAAAAACAAATGCAAAAAAGTGATTTTTGGCAATTTTGAGACTGCCTTCGTTGCCGTGGTAACAGGAAATTTAAGAATGAGAATGATTGTCCAGTCAACACTTGTGCCAAGTTTCTTTAGTATTGAAGCATTTTTCATAGTTTCATTGCAGTTTGAACTTCTTACAGGAGGCTTTACAATGAAAACGGCCATTTTTTCACAATATGCTCATGAGGTAAAGGCTTGATGTCTTTACCGAAAGATCTGAAAATGTATGCGCATGTTTTATTTATCCGAAGTAGTCATGCATTTGTAGAGACCAAATTGTTGCAAGACAAAAAAATAATGAAATAAGATAAAAATAAAAGAAGAAAATGGCGTCACACTGCCGCCACATATTTATTTTGATAAAATTGGATATCGGCTGTTTCACCCAACGAATGCATTGTACAAAATCTAGAAAGAGGCAATACAAGTGATAGAAAGAGCATCAAAGCACGAGCATCTGGACTGTACGAAGGGGCGTAACCCCCGAGTATTAATCAGATTGCCGAGTGTTTTGATGTTCTTCCTCTTATGTATCATAGTCAAACATAAAGACACGGTCCCTGTTGACCCCTCAAAAAAGTAATCAATGAATTAGCGTCTGAATATGAAATTGCTATCGCTTTCCCGTTTTCTGCCGTCACAATATGTAAACCCCAGCAAAAATGAGCCAATCAATTGGCCTGCTCTGCATCGCGGGTTACTAATACCTGCACCCCAGTTAACGCACTGTGCATGTATATGTATACGATTTAACTCAGACACATTTTCAACAGAAAGGTTCCAAAACTATGATACAGATATGAAAATGTTTAATTGGTGATGGAGTATCTTCCGAAGTTATCGAAAATAAAGTGTGAAATGATCAAAATCATAAAAAAGAAAAGAGAGTAAAAAAGAGTAAAACCCATATTCGTATTTATTACGAAATATATATTTCTTAAAAGTAAAATGAAAGAGACGATACGGATTATATTTCTCTATAGAAGTTATTTACAAAAATTCTTAATGTAATACATAAATTATAAACTTCATTTTGAAAATGATATAGTTTCATTTCATATTAAATATGATAGACAGGTTATCTGTATCCCACATAACTTTTAAAGTTCATATATTTCTACCAAACATAGTATAAAATATACAGTCGTTACAAATTTTGAATTAAATATCAGTCTTCTTTTTTCATTTTGATATACCGATGAACTAATAAAATCTCCAGTATAGAAATAAAAATAAAATCTGTAACTTGATATAATGTTCCCGACATTCGGTCGGTACAAAATTTAATTAAAAAAAAATAAGCATGCTTTAGTCGCTTTTTTCATGTTGATATACCGATGAAAAGGTGAACTTAAAACTCCAGTAGAAATATTAATAATGTTTTACCTTAATAAAATGTCACTGACAATCTCGCGGAACGTAGACATTGTGCACAAACGGGTTAACTGTTTATTTAGACGTATGTTTATGAATGATTTTGATGAAAATGAAGACAACATATATTTATTTCAAAGGGTCAGTTAACATGTTTAATTTAATTTCTCTAGCAACATTATCCTGCTTAACCAAGAAATATTTTTAAGCTCCTCCTACTTTAGCAGCCACATTTTCTAAGCTCCTCCTACTTTAGTAACAACAGTGCATGTTATGAAAAAATATCTCGGTTCCGTAGAGAAAATGTCCATATCGCCCGCATAAAACTAAACCACTCGAAACATAGAAAAAATACAACGTTTTTTTTTTAAATTATTTCAAAACAAATATGAAAGTTGAAGGTATTTTGCTTTAAAGTGCGCAAGCAGTCATAGAACTTATAGTATCAAGTTCTGCATGTATATGGTATATGTATACAAACAATTTCTAGAAAAATTAATTAAATGTTAAGCTTAAAAAAATGTTGTTACTTAAGTTCGAAATTTAAATTCGCCATTTTCAGAATTGACAAATTTGAATCATTTCTGTTTAATTTGACTTAGTTTGAAAATAAAGTGAAATGTTTGAAATTCGGCCCTTAAATAGTTAGTGAATAGTTTCCTATTCATGTACATGTTTTGTCATTTGATGAAGTATTCGTTTTATTTTTGTTCTTGTTTTTTTGTTGTTGTTTTATTTCAATTAATTAATATTTATTTACTTATTTATTTATTCATTTGTTTATTTACTGACTTAATCACCTATGTATTTATTTATTTATAAATTTATTTAATCATTTATCTATTTTTTTGATTTATTTATTTGATTTATTTATTTGATTTATTTATTTATTTATTTTTTATTTTTATCTATTTTTTATTTATATTTTTATTTATTTTTTATCTATTCAATTATTTTATTTATTTTTCTACTTACTTTATTTTTTTACTATTTATTAAGATAAATTTATTTATTTATTTAATTACTTACTGACTAACTTACTTACCTTTTTATTTATTTATTTATTTATTTATCCATTATAAATAATTGTTGTAGTAGGTTTTATGTGTGTCAAATATCCAACATGACAAAAATGATCGGGAAAAAAGGCCTTAAAACGAAAAATTAAACAATCTTGATTCTAAATGATATAACAGATTTGTTCGGTCAACTCTTTGGAAACCAGGAAAGAGTGTAAAGAAAAATATGGTAAATTTGATATGGTGGTTTATGTAATTAATGTGACCTGTATTGTCAAATTATAATTAAAACATAAAGAAATATTTTCTCATCATTATCATCATCGTCGTCGTCGTCGTCATCATCATCATCACAATCATCATCATCACAATCATCACCATCACCATCATCATCATTGTTATTTTTTTATTATTATTATTGTTATTATTATAATTATTATTATTATTATTATTATTATTATATTTATTATTATTATTATTATTATTATCATTATTATTATTATTATTATTATTATCATTACTATTATTATTATTATTATTATTATTATTATTATTATTATTATTATTATTATTATTATTATTATTATTATTATTATTATTATTATTATTATTATCATCATCATCATATCTAGCGAGTATATTTAAATTCCTAAATTTTTCACTTACCTGACGGGTATGGATGCTGTTTAAGTCATCTATTCCTGCTTTCTGATAAAACACATTTTTTAAAAGTAATTTTATATATTAACTGCGCTACTGACTGAAAATGAATTTATAGACCGAAACGAAACAAAATATAATTTAAAACTGTATATCAAAACCATTATTGTCATCTAGATTTAAATCTAAATGATTTATAACGAGCTGAAACGATGCTTCAAGTTTCATTTCAACAGCCCATCTTTATATTGTAATTTTTTTAAAGTAATTCATTTCATATTTTGTATCATATTTTGGAGACACTTCTATTGAAAATGTGCACAGAGTGTGTGAAAATGAGTATCAAGTGTATCAAACGCATTAACTATTATGATTATAATAATTAAGTGTTTTCATAATGGCCTTGTTATTGGACTGCAAACTATCATATTAGCAGTCAAAGGCAATTTAATAAAGGAACTCCACTGAGGTTTAAACATAAAATTTTAATTTTTCACACTGATAAACATGATCACTTAAAACAGAAATATAAATAAAACATAACCAAGAAAAAACAAGACATACATTGATTCTCAGTCCGATTTGAGTTAAAAGCGTTTACATGCTTTTCAATTTTAGGCCATTTTTTTACTATTATAATAGTTATTCTGGAAAAACTGAGCGAGCTAATGATCTTAGATTTTGCACAAAAGTTATAAGTATAGATCTACATCAAATGGAGTAAAAATCTAATAAAATATTTCCAGTACCGTCATGTCAAAAAACCTCAGTGGAGTCCCTTTAACTGACTACACATTATTTAAAAAAAATTAAGTACTTAGTGAACAAAAAATAGCTAATGTGAGATATTGCAATGAGATTCTTTTTTCTTAAAAAATGCCAAAGAAACCTACCTTGCAACAATCCAAACTGGTGACTTTTTTAATGAAAAAAAAAAATAAAAAAAAAAAATAAGAAAAACAAATTAATAAAAACAAATAAAAATAAAGAAAAAAAAAGGAAAAAAAAACCAAAAAAAAACAACAACAACACAAGTCAATTGAATGAAAGAAATATAAATAGATTCATTATAGCCAAGCTGGAGAGTCAATCAAAATTCTTGAATCTCATAATGACCGAGTTTTATCATGAGTTTGATACTTGTTGCATAATGGCCTTGTTTTAAGTTCATAATGCCGTGGTGAACTTCATATTAGCCTTACATTTTAAATGAAAACGTGCCTTATATTAAAAAGTTAATTAATAATGTAGTCTACAGTTACAGAAATGATGTTATGACGTTATGACATTAATGTTATACATTAAATAACTTTAAACAGCCTCCGGAATAAGTTTGCAAATCCGGAATTTTCGCTCAGCTACCTTTTTTAAATTGATTAGAGAAAAAATTTAAAGACCGGTCAATAATAGAAATAGAGTCAAGTAAAACCTGGCCTTTGAAATGACGATACCCTTAAAATTAAATGCAGGGGAGACATTCAAAGTTGGCCGTCCCATGGGGTTTTTCGATTCCCC